GTTGTTGCCCGCGCGTCTGCCTGTCGGGCCGCCTATATAAGCAGGCGGCGGGCGGGTGTGCGGCCTTTCCCTGCGGTGCGAGCGGTAGGTTGCCATCTTGGGGGGGGTGGAGTCCGGGGACAAATTGGGGAGTCCTTGGGATGACGTGTGTGTGTGCAGGCGGTGTGCACATGGACGTGCAGAGGGTGTGCACGTGTGTGTGTAGGGGTGTGCGCATGGACGTGCAGAGGATGTGCACATGTATGTGCGCAGGGGGCGTGGGGGCGTGTGCAACGTGTGTGCACGGTTGTGTGTGTGTGTACCCGATTGCATGCACACGTGTCCATGTGTGTGTGTGCGGGCAGTCCTCAGACTTGCGACACAATCGGTTCCCAAAAACCGAGTCTGAAGTCAAAACGTTGGACGTTCCCGTGGGAGCAATGTTATCCACGGGGGATTGACGCTCGAGACCCTATTTTCACCAATTGTGTGTGTGTGTGTATGTGTGTGTGTGTGTGTGTGTGTGTGTGTATATATATATATATTTATATTTGCCAATGTCAAAAAAAGGTAGAAACGCTAGCAGCCCGCTCGCTTTCTGAGCTGAGGAGACTAGGAAAGCAGCTTTACGTGTAGTTTAATTAGACACCTCCCTTGGACTCATTGTCACTTTTCTCCTTTCTGGAGTTTTTTTTTTATTATTATTATTATCATTATTATTTTTGAGCAGGCTACAAAGAATGGAGCGAAAGGCAGCCTCGCCCTGAAAACGAGAAGCCGGGTGAGTGTGAATTCAGGCCCGATAACAAAACCGTCTGTGGGAGATGGTTTGCGCAGCGCATCGTGCGACGCCTCGTAAGGAGCTGTTTGTTGCTAGGGGTTGCTTAAAAATATGCGCTTCCCTAATATTATGGCTCTTGCACTAGAAGCTCATGAGACAGCCTCTCGGTGTAAATGTTTCGAGCACTTCGGCGTAGCAGTTGAGACACAAACACTCACTTCGGAATTGGTTGTGTTCAGATAATCCGAGCATGCATTGGTTTGATGTTGAAATTGGTGGGTAAGGCTCCTTGGCTTGTGCCACGGCAGAGGTCAGCCTGGAAGATACCCTCTAGTCTATACATTGCAAACGCAGCAGAGACTGTCCAAGGGATTCTTGATGGGAGGTAGGCAGAGCAAGGGCTTGATGTGCACAGCGGTGCAGTAATTGTGAGCGTTTCGTTGTGTATGGTGTTATTCAGTGGAGGTTTTAGCATTTCAGGCTGTTTATATCTAGAATGTTGTAGCTGTTTTAGACTCGAAGAAAATGAGGGTGGAAGGGAGCTCAGGATGTCACATCTAGTCCATCCCCATGGTCCAAGCAGCACCAGCCCCAACTACATCATCCCAGCCAAGGCTTTGTCTAGCCGGGTTTTGAAACCCCCCAAGGATGGATCTTCCACCACCTCCCTGGGTAACCTGTTGCAGCGTTTTACTACCCTTCTCATGAGCAAATACTTCCTAATCTCCAACCTAAACTTCCCTTGCTGCAACTTGAGCCCATTGCTTCTTGTTCTGCTCTTGTTTTGACTCAACTTGTGCAGTGTCCTCTTCCCCAATGCAGTTAAGCCCCCTCGGTCTTTATTTACATATGCAGTCTTCCATGTTAAATAGGTAACTGCCCCTATAGGCGTTGCGAAGGTGGCTGCTGTGCCATCTTTGTGTCATCAGGTGGCAGAGAGAAACAGGCTATGTCTACGCTCAGTGTTCGGAAACCTGTGAGCACTCAGAATGATTAATAGCCTGACATCATTTATAAAGCTGCTTTCTTAGGAAGCCCTTGGAAAAACTGCATAAATATGTTTTGGAAACCTCCCATTTCCTATTCCTGATCTGCCTTGATCTCGGAGGACGTCTGGGGCTGTTGTAGGAAAGCACTGATGAAACTCTGTGGACCAGTGTCTATTTATCCTTTGGAGCGGTAGGAGCTGTTCCACTAAATCTGTACTGTTTATGTGGGAAACCAAGGTGTAAAGAGAGCAAGCGGCTTTTACTCCAGGGTCGTATAACAAGCTGATGGTATGGGCAAGAATTGGATCTTGGGGATCTAGTCTCCCAGGCCACAGCTCTACCCATGAGATGGTTCCTTCCTCTTTTCAGGATGGGATTTGCTTTTCAATTGCTTCCTTGCTGCCACTGCCTAATTTGTCGAAGAGAGGCAGACTACCAAATGACGTCGCTACTAGTTATGCCATTCAGGGGCAGGGAGTGGGGACCTGTCATAAATTATATTCCAGTTTAACCTGGGGCTAGCTGGTGGAAGAGAAGCTGAGATGTCAAGGAGAGTGTTGCTTTTTCCTGCCACAGTGAAAACTCAAACTTAAGAAAAAACAAGGACGTGAAACAGCTGTCATTTTACTTAATCTCCCAAATCGCTGTCAGCAGTGGGCTGATGCCCAAATAGCCAGCCTCTGTAGTGCACCTAAATAGGCATTATACATGCTCTTCTCATTTTCTGCTTTTGTTGTTGTTTTGCAGGGAAAGGAATGTGAACACTACAAACTTGGGAGGTTTCCTCCAAAAACTCAGGTGAGACAAGTTTCCTGCAGGCTTCCTGCCCCCTGGTAGCTCCATGCCCCTACAGGTGTTGCAGGTGTGGCTGTCGTGCCACATCTGTGTCATTAGGTGGCGAAAGAAAGAGGTTGCGTCTACGCTCGGTGTTCTGAAACCTGTGAGCACTCAGAATGATTAACAGCCTGACATGCAACACTTTTTTTTCTCTTAATACTAAATGATGAAAAGTGCTGGATTCACACCTATGGATTCCCCCTCTGGCCAGAGCAGGCTTCACCTGTGGAAAAACAGGACCATTTTTTCCACCTCACCCTACCAATGAAGACTTCCTCTGTGGAGGAGATGGTTATTCACTTAGTACCTATTCCATTTGGTGCAGATTATAGTGATGTTTTTCATTACCTGGATGCTTGTGCACTGAAACGTTGCACTAACATTCCCCAAATCATTTCGTGTTAGATGGATAGCTGTCAGATCATAGCTATTTTCAGTGGTTACAAATGGGACTGAATTTGATTTTGCAGGCTAGAAGTGATGAGTACTGTATAGTTCATCTGGTCTTCCCTGAGGCTAACGATTTCTATGATAGCATAAAGGGGAAGAGAAGGTCTTTTTTTAATGTCATTGCTTTGAACATTATGTGCATGCTGGGGGAGGGGTTGGGATTACATTGTTCGTATAAGGAAGAGTATGAAAATTAAGCTTTGCGTTGTGCATTGATTGTGTGTACTGCAATATACCTGGCAGTCGGCTATAGCTGTCCTTATGCTTATCCTGTAATGGAAATAAATGTTCCCCCTGCCACACACACACATATGCCCTTCTGCTTGCAAATGTGGGCCTCAACCCAAACACTGCTTTCCTGGAATGTGAAAAATTCTAGGTCCAAACTTTGCTGTTTGTTTCCATCTCTCTTGCTTTTAATTCCTTCCAGTGACAAGTTTTTAGAATGGTTATAATTGTTATGCACTGTGTCTTTTTTGTTTGTTGGTTTAGAAAAATGTGACTACAATACGGGCCGAAAAGTCTTCATCCTAGAAGTCAGGTGAGCTTGGAAACAGGGTAAATTCTAAATCGTGATTCTAGAAACCAGCGGGAGTTGCAGTCCGCTTGCTAACATGTCAGCAATCCAGTGCAGCGCAGACAAGGCAATTTGCTTCTTAAGATGTGTTCAACTTGAGCGCCTTCTAAGCCTTTGTCTAGATAAAGATTAGATAGACTTTTAGAACCGGATATACAAACATAGGCTGCAAAACCTTTTTAGATTGGAGAGAAAATGGGGGCAAAGACATGAGAGCCATCTTGAACCTTTCTTTAAGATAAAGCACCTGAAAGCTGCAGTTATTACAGCTTTCGGGTTTTTGTATGGCATGCTTTACTCGATCAGAAATGGAGAGAGGGGTGATTATACATTTAAATTGCAATGCTACAATTTTGGTGGGGGACTAGTTGTTTTAATTGGTGTTTCTCTGGTGTCCTGGGCTTGAGAGAGTTACAGGCATGGATGTCATGGTTTGTCATTAGGGGGCACAGATGGAGAGCCTGCGTCTGCTCTCTGTTCCGAAACCTATGAGATGAGTGGTAGTTTGACATTGTTTCCAAGTACACCTGCTTTCTCCAGAGAGATGGTAGACTGTGGAGCAAATGTCCTTTGAAAGGCAGCTAATCGCAAGCTAGTTTTATCCATGTCAGGAGAAGGCCTTATCCTTGTGTACAAGGACAAGTGGAAGAGACCGTTCTATTCTTGGGTTCTCCTGAGGCCTCTGCTGCTGCCCCCTGTGGCTTTGGGGAAATAGCTGTTTGGCATCCTGTTGTCTGTCAAATGCTGATAACGTTTCAGTTCCTCTGTTGAGTGTAGTGAGGTTTAACATTTGTAAAGGTCCTGAAAAACAAACACAATGCAACAAAAACAGGATGGAAATGCAACGAATGAGCCAGGAGTTTCAGAAATGGGAACCTAAAATTAGGCAATTTCCAGAGTGCCTGAGTTATTTAGAAGCACAGTTGCTGTAAATGGGTATTGTACTAAAAATCCCCATCCCAATAAGAAGTTTTGTTTTGTTTTTCCCCAAAAGTGCTCAGCCCTTGGTACCTTCACCCTTTAATTAGCACAATCACACATACCTTCTACTGTGCCTAGCTACAGTTCTTAATTCATGGGGCTAGAAGTACTTGCTAATGAAAGACCAAAAGTATTGATTTACCTTTGCAGCCATAATACTCGATTCCTTCATACTGCTTGCTTGGCTGGGTACTTTTTACAGTTAACAAAATTCTGGGCATTTATTAATTCAGTTAGAAGCATTTGTGATTGTTCTGGTGGTGTACACATGGCTTGTATTATGCATTCGATTATGGTCTTTGTTGGGGAGGGGAGGACCAAGAAAAATGTAGAACCCAGGAATGTTGCTGATTGCAGGCATACCAGCAAAATTAACAGTTCACTGAATTTCATATGTTTGACTGTGTAATTCTCAGTGGTCAGAAGTAGTTCTCAAAACCAGCCTGGCTTTGCGAAAAATTGATATTCCGTGCTTTCTTTTCACAGGTTCACTCGAGGAAGACAGTATTGATTTCTTTTGAAATGTAATGCAAAGCTGTTGAAGGTAAGTATTATGACATCTTTTAGTACCAAGAATAAAATACTCCAGGCACAATGTGTTAGCGAAATGGCTGGTGCCAGTGAGTTGGAATACAAAAACTAGAGTTGAAGTAGCATCTGAGGTCTGGTCGTTTAAAGGACATGGACAAGTCAATAAAAAAGAAACTAACAGCTATACAGTCGATGCCTGTTGGCAGCAACACTGGGTAAGAGCAACAGCTACCTACCAGCCACCTTTCCCCTGGCAATGTTTTTCCTGCCATGCATCTTCTGTCTGGTAACAGCAACACAGCTGCTGCTTAAGAGCAACACTTGTGGATCAGGAGATGCTTGACCTCGCTGTGCTTAGCAGCCTGCGGACACCATGCCAAGAAGTCTCTCCCTTAAAGAGAAAGTTGAGATTATTCAGGCCTGTCAAGTTCCTGGAGCCAGTCAAAACCAAGTTGCTGTCAAGTGGGACTTGCACAGATCAGTTGTTTGTAGAATATGGAAGCAGAAGGATAAGCTTTTGTCTGATTATGAGGATGGCCAGGCAAAGAGCAGTCGCAAACGCAAGCGGGAGGGGAAAGCCCCTGATGTCGACAGGGCACTCTTTCACTGGCTCAAGGCAAAGAGGGCAGAAGGAGCTTTGCTTACAGGACCTATCATCAAGGACAAGGCCCTCCAGCTTGCTGCTGCAGCTGGACTCAGTGACTTTAAGGCGAGTGATGGTTGGTTCAGCGCATGTGGAAGAAACGATTCAACATCACATACAGAAAGGAGCATGGAGAGCAGCAGTTGAGGGACAAGCTGTCAGCTGTGCAGTGGCAGACTCAGAGACTTCCTCAGGTCCCTGAGAAGATTTATCTAGCTGACATCTACAGTGCAGACAAGACTGGGTATTATTTGAAGGAGCTCCCTGGCAGTGGACTCAGAATAAAAACAGAGAAGCTGGAAGGTGGTACTATTTCCCAAGACAGAGATTGTCTTGGTCTCTCTCCTGAAGAATGGCAGGATGTAAAACCAAAACTAATTTCCAGCTGCTTCAAAAGGGGCAAGGTAATAAAGTTTCACGCGGTGCCAGGGGAGGAGGAGGGAGGCAGGGATGCAGAAGAAGGTGTTGCCCCCCCGAACGATATTCCACTCACGAGTAAAATGACGGAAGAGAGTGTGGCGGATGCTGCAGCTAGGGATGAGGGTGTGCCCGGGTTTGGAGAGCCAAGCGTTGGGGAGTTCGTTGGCACTGCTGCCACTAGACCAGAGAAACATCTGTGGGTTGAAAAGACTGATGATAAGGGGACAGAACAAGTGGGTGAGCGTGATCTTGATGAAATTCTACCTCCCACAAATGCAGACGTGTTGAAGGCTTTGAGCATGGTTTGGCACTTCTCACGGCAAGAAAGGCTGGGAGACAAGGTTTATAGGTCCCTTCAGGACATCAAATCCCATCTCCAAAACAAAATGGCAGCAGAAGCAGTGCGAATTAACAGAGTTCTTCCCCAAGATACCTTGAGTTGATCCTTTTCTGATTTCAGCAGCCTGGAATTACAATGCACTTTGTGGAGCATGACTTTAATTTAGCTTGTGTTGGTTGTCAATAGTGGTGGCTTGGTGGTTGTTTGAACCAAAAAATAAAACTTGAAAATTTTTATGGTGTAAACTTAATCCATGCTGCCCTTAGCTACCTGTCTTACATATCAGAAAACGGGCTGCTCTTGGTTGGGCATGTCCAGTAACAGCTGCTTTAGGAACAATATAGCCCCAAGGCACTGGCACATTGCTACTAACAGGCGTCGACTGTAATAGAAAGCTTCCTTTTATAAGTTGCTATTGGTATGTAACGTGCTTAAACTGTAAGTTTTGATGGCCATTTTGAATTACTGGCCCTAATTTTAGACTGGACACTGAAGCTAGATTGGTAATTTCAGTTTGCACAGAAACACAGCAGTGCAATTCTGATTATCTCAGGGGAAATTTAAAATTCAACTTGTAAAGTCTCCTCGTGGAATTCAGAGACTTTCTGGGTACTGTTTTCTTTGTACCTTATGTCTACAGCCTGCTTCTTGACTCTGAGCTCTGAGACCATCTCCCTCTTCTGTTTGAAAAATGCTCAGCGTGTATTTCTTTCAAGTGTGTCCACTTTTTCATTTCTCTAAGCCTTAAAGAACAGGTGACTGACCATCAAAGATACCTTCGTAATGCACGGATTATTTTCTTTAGAATTGAAATTGTCTAACATCGTTGTCCGGTGAGGTTTGCTTGGAACTCGAATTTTCCAGTTAATGTGTGAAACGGTCAGAGCTCCCATGTTGTAAATGGACTATTTCTATGTTTTATAAGCGTGTAATACTTTCTAAGCACAATAAAATTCATTTGCACGTGAAGAGAACAGCATTAATGTCGTCACATTTATTGAGGCTTTGCTATCCTTAACCTAGTAGTTTCAGATGTTTGCATATTAACGTTGGTTTGTACTTTGGCACAGAACAGGTCCATTGTTTGTGCATTAGTGATTCAGAGACATTTATCTCTGCATTTAAATAATTACTGTGGATAGCTGCCACTTCAGTTAGTTGGCAAGGCTACATGTGTGATATTTCCTTTCCTTACTGCCTATTAATAATCAATTATTGCTCCATTGAGACATAAATATGAGTGCTGTGTCGTATTTATGCCAGAAGGAGGCAGGCAGGAAGTGTTATGCTGCTTTATAGTCTGTATCCTAAAAGAAAGGATACACACAGAGCTTTATAGCAGCTGAACAACGTCGTAAGTTGGAATGTGTACACTTGGAGAGGAGTTGGGGTGGGGGGTTTCCTGCATGACATTATTTTTCTCTTAGACTCTTGATTTATGTTAAGGCTTTCACACATCCAGTCCAGCACTTACCTTTTAAAGTAGTGGGTGCATTTAAGGACTTTTCAACTGCAGCTTAATCTTAATGCATTAATATAGCAACTGTAATATTCAGCTGTTAAAGCACTCCATTCCCCACAACTGTCTCAACAATGAAATTATGTGGAATCTTGTAGACACGCTTGTTCGTTTACACTGATTGTATGTTTCCAAATGTGTATTGTGAAGAATTATGCCAAAATAAAGGAAAAGGCATTTTTCGACTCGTAACGCAGCTGTCTGGTACAACATCATTTCAAACCCTGCAAAAGTTGATGGTGCGTGCCACAGGTTGGTACTACCACAATGGAATTATTGAATCAGCATGGTGGACTGAGTAAAAGAAAATACTGTTTCTCTTCTCCCAGCCAAGATGTTGGCTTACGTTTGGTGTGATGCCCTTTCAGGTGAAAAGAAGTGGGTTACGTAGAAGTGAGATGTTTTGACCTGGTTAGTGATAGCATGAGACTCAGACCCAAAGACCCTGTCTTCCCCACCTCCATGCCAGGCCTAGGAGTGCTGCTGTGAAGCCTATCTTGTCCACTTGCTCCAATGCACTGAGCGCCACATCCTGGAAATACATCCCTGTACCTTTCTAGAGCAGTGCTAAGCCCCTCTCAGGACTGCCCATGGGCACTCGCTCTCATGAGTGCTTTTTGGCATACACTCTGGGCCACCCCCAGGTTCCTGCCTACCTTCAGCTGCAGGATTTGGCACCAGAGCAGTGGGAGTGACTAATTTGCGATGGGTCTGCCAGATGCACCCCAGCGGCTGTGTGGGCTTACGTAGCAAGGCTGTCCGAAGTACTTGTTAAAATCAGTTGCATCGTGGCTTGACTCTTCCCCTCTCTGGTTACACGTCAGCCCATCCTCGTCCTGCGGGACCCTGATCGGGAAGTAAGGTGTTGGGATAGTTGTGAAACACCTGCTCTGCTTGTGGTGGGGGAGTGGCCCTGCACTGTGCTGCTCTCCTCCAGGTGATGAGAGATGCATGGGTTATGACTGCACTTAGCATTCTCAAACTCCTGAAGGCTCTGTAATGACGAATAGCCTGACAAAATCTGGCTGTGCTAAATGCTGGAAAATGTCCTCATTAAATGGGCATTACTGGGGCCAAAGGTGCCATTAACCAAGCGGGTAGCTGCTGGCTGCAAAATGAGCCATTTAATTGGGAAAAGGCACTGCCTAATAGCAGCGGATTCCTAAAAGAATGCTAATAAGGTTGTTGTGGTTGTTGCTGTGCGAAGACTCATGCATTAAGATGTGACTGTTTAATTTAAAATTACTGGCTTTTAACCCTGAAATACATGTTCGATTTCTCACAAGCCTTTAATCAGATCAAGGTTTCCACCAGGGGTAGTGAGCACCTAATGAGGCTTTTGGAAAACTTCACCTTATCAGGTAGAGCTTTCTTTTTTTACTGAAATCGTCGGGAAATGTGCTGAGTTCCGTTGAATTGCTCACAAATCAGCACAGACAAAACGGGAAAGGAATAGCCAAAGATTGGGTGAAATTGAGGCGTTAAAACACAGCAGCTCTCAGGCAGATGGTCAGCACTCCATGTTTTTGAAAGGGGGCAGAGGGGGCTCCAAAATCTTTGCAAATATTGGCTTACCACCGTTTAGAGCAGTTTACGCTGTGCAGTGGAGACCTCTGGAATTAAGTCTTTACCAGCGCTTACGGCGTATTCAAGTCACAAATAACAAAAATGTAAATATTGAATTTTTAGGAACTAAGCTTTTTGTGACCTCCATCTGTCTCGGTGGAAAGGCAAATACATGTGCAAAAAAGTGATCAGAATAATTACAGTTCTTATGAGATGCAGAGAAGAATTTAAGCTAATGGTTTTTTTGGACAAACTGCACAATTAAAGTAATGGTCTGATTTAAACCAATGAATGCTCGGAGATTCAGAGATGAGACTAATCCTCGTACGTAATGAAAGATCACTGTTCTGGGACCTGGGTACAAGGAAATGAATTGAAGATGCAAGCCTTGTGTTGTAAGCATTCACTTAAATGGCAGTTTGGAAAATGGACTAGCACAGGAAGTTCACCTTAAATTCAACCATTTTTCAAGGTATTTTTGTGTGCAATTCCCTGCAGGGGAGTGCATCACCAGGCTGCTTCCGTTGGAGGGATCAGGTTAGGACTTCGACAGGTGTAATACAGTATCAGGCCTTTGATGGTTTATTTTTTTTAAGGGAAAACGCAACATAAGATCGAGCTATTTTTATTTGTCATGGGACGTTTTTCAAGTTTATATTATTACATATTTAAAATTAAACTACATATCCTAAGAACATCTGAGTTGGTTAGAAACAGAACTGGTGCATAGTTGGATGTGCCCTGAGCTATGACAATGTTGCTAAATGTAGTTATACGGCACAAATTTGGGGAATTAAAAAGCACAGACATGTCATCGAGAAAATCTTACTGAAGGGTGTAGTGAGATACTAAGTTAAGTAAACTGGAAACTGCGCTAAGAAAATTTGTTTAAAAATGCCAGTTGTGGCACATTATGCAATGTAATATTACCATAAAGGCCTGTGTGAAGAACCAATTTAGCTTAGGGTTGCCTCAGAAGCGATGCTTTCTATGTGGCAATAATCTCTTCAAACATGCATATTCCTGTAATTAGGTCTCTGCATCCTATTGGTTCATTAACTGCCCTTGGCTTTAGCTGCAGCTCTTGGCTCTGGTAGTAAGATGGGGGCTTTGTATCGAACCTTATTCAATATGCCTGGAAACCACTGCCACTCTATAATATTAGTGAAAGTAGGAGCCCAAAGGAGAGGAAGCAATTTGCATAATAGCAAAGGAATAAAACCGCAGCACATAAGTAGGAGCCAGATCCAATCTGTTGGAGTGCGCTTGAAAAACTAAAAGTTTACCCTTGGCAAGGCCTGGTTTCCATTTTGAGCTTAAAAAAACAAAAAAACCTAAATCCCTGCATTCAAAATAGACTTCAGAAGGCCCAGGGCTTAGGTCTGTGGCATGCTGGGTAATGCTCTTTCTGGCTGTGAAGGCGACCAGTTTCAATACCCAGAGCCAAAATTCAAGATTGTTTTCCTAGGGTAATCCTCTGCTTGCTGAGTGGCAAAGGGAAGGTGTCAGGTTAAAGAATGGAAGAGGGCTGCTCAGCCCAGGTCTAGGTCAGATAGGAGTGGGGGCAGGTGGCATAGTGGCAGATCGAGCAGAAAGCAGAGCAGCAGATTGGGCAGAGAAAGGGGCTAATGTACAGCACATCTGCCAAGAAGGTTGGCCCCCACTGCTCTAAACTAAAAAAACTTTCTCTGCATTGCTGTGTCTGCTAAGGAGGCGTATACCTCAAACCTAGCCCACCCAACTGCCTGCTTTCTCCGCCCTCCCAGTATAGATGGTGGGAGGATAGTGAAGGCAGGTGGGGACATCATGAATGTGGCAGAAAACCCTCTCCTGCTGCCATCAGCTAGGTGCCCATGTTGGGGCTCTGTTGGCAGTGGCAGCACCGTACTACAGGTAAGTCCTTAGTACATCTCTCACCCTCCTTACACCCCTCCTCTTGCAGGCCCTCAGCATAGACATTACACCGATGTGGATTCTTTAACCGTGTGGCTTATCGTGGCTTCGTGCACTCTTAATTTGGTGCCTGCCCCTCTAGGTGGGCAGTGGCTTCCCATCAATCCCGAGCCAGGCTGCTCAGCCTCCGGTTTTGATTTGGGAGACGGAACAAGGATTCTGCCTTCCTAGTCCCACCTACTCAATGTTAAAATTCAGCGTTAATGCTCCATTCCTCCTCGGTGGGTGGGCAGGTAGGAACACGTTGACATTACACAGTAATGAGTGGGTGGTATTAGTGACATAAAAAATCCTCATGATGAAGAAAGGAATGGAAAATAGCCCACCATTTGCTAAGCTGTCCCAGGCCCTTAATTTGTTTTCTGAATGACCCATCTCCTGAAGCCGACGGTTCATTGTAGTTCCACAGTCCAATACAGGAATTCAGTGTGATATGGGTATGTCACAAATTGTTGTCTGCGGTTATGATCCTAGGTTCTTACAGACTTAACAGCAGCACAAGTGCTCATGTCTGGCCCTCTATGCTAGAGTGACTTGTCACTCTCTCATAGCATATTAGCTGCCTGATATCTGAGTAATGCCCATACGCCACTGTGTTGGGGTGCCGGGACCCAGATCTAGGAAGGTACAAAGCTGCTGAACTCCAATTAATGTCAGTGAAATCAAGGAGTGGGCATTAAAAAGTACTAAATACATCGGGTACTTGCACTTCAATTAGCCATCGTAACAACTTTCCTGGAAAGCCAGTTTAATTCTGCAAAGCCGTCTTTCTTTGGTGAATTGAATCCTAGTCTAAATAGTCCCTGAGTCACGACTGACTTCGGAGATCCAGAGATGCTGAACAATGGGCGGAAGACTTTTTCTCCCTGCTGCAGTCAGAAGAGAGAAATCATATTTATTTATAGTGTGCAAGGCACTCAGAAACTGTACTGACTAACGAGGAGTAAGGTCTTTAAGTGCACACATTCATTTGCTGCTTACACTTGATGCTTACTTTTAAGAACTTCATTTATTTGAAAGTCTTATTTTCTTATATCCTGGGGCTCTTCTTTCAATCACCGATGATGCCTCAGGGTTTGTGTAACCTAGCAATCATGGCAGCAGCAAAGGAAACTCCTCAGAGTCGGTGTTTGAAGTCTCCTAGTTTGTAACTTCATTCCCTACAATGCACTAGTTGAAATGAGCTGTAAGCACTACAGCTCGTGAACACAACGGGCAGCGGTATAAATACCTTCTCTGACATTTTCTCCGATCGGCTTTGTTAGCGCTCTAAGAATAAACTCTTACTGCTATTTTGATCTTTGTGCATTTTC